TTTCCATTTCCTAACAAATGGTGCAATGTCATTCAAAAAAACCCTGTGTTTTTTTTTTTTTTTTTTTTTTGTCGGTCGTGGGGCTTGAACTCTGGGGTCTGGATGCCGTCCCTCAGTTTTTCAGCTCAAGGCTAGCGCTCTACCACTTGAGCTACAGCACCACTTCTGGTTTTCTGGTGGTTTATTGGAGATAAGAGTTTCACGGACTTTCACAGGCTGGCTTTGAACTGCGATCCTCAGATCTCAGCCTCCTGAGTAGCAAGGCTTACACAGGTGTGAGCCACCAGTGCCCTGCTCCAAGTTTTATCTTCTACATTTAGGTCTCTTGATCCATTTTAAGTTTTGTGTGTGTGTGTGATATGAGTTTGACAAGTATTTCTGACTAGCAAATGACTGATTCTTGCAGCCTCTATAAAGGTTACTTAGGTCAACTCTGATAAAATACAGGGACAATAAAGAACTTTGTATAACATCTCATTACTGTCTGTTTTAATTTGTCTTCAGTATGAAGATGAGGAAGCTGCAGAAGAATTTAAAATTTCCAGCTTTGTGGACATGGTTCGAGACTGTAGTAAAATTGGCATTCCTTATAGCTCCCAAGGTAAGTCTCTTATAGTGGGTTTTTATTGGAAAGTGTACAAATGGAATGCCTCTGTTTCTTTCTTTGAAAGCATTCAGACGGGAAATGCCTTGATTCATTTTTACTAAGGCAAAGAATGAAGCAGAGTGAAGTTTGGGGACTTTCCTATACAAGCTTGTATTCATAAATGAAATTTTCACATCAACACAGCAAGCTACCTGTGGCCAAGAAGAAGATCTAATGAAGGATTTAGCACAATTGACATTTAGTTTGTATCACTTTTTTTTCCTGAAACATAGCCCAGGTTATCCTGGGACTCACTATGTAGCCCAGGGTGGGCTCAAACTTGAGACCTTCATTCCTCTGCCTTCAGAATGCTTGATATACAGGCATTTGTCAACATACTTGCCTCTGTATCTCTTTTTTATGTGAGGCCTCTTAGTTTAAAAAAATAGTAATTTAGATAGCCATTTAAAAATATGCTGACAGAGTGGCTAAAAAAATGATCTGCTGACAGAGAGGTTAAAAAACGATGTGTGGAGCCAGGTGCCAGTGACTCACACCTGTAATCCTAGCTACTCAGAAGGCTGAGCTCTGAGGATAATGGTTCAAAGCCAGCCCAGGCAGGAAAGTCCATGAAACTCTTATCTCCAATAAACCACTCAGAAAGCCGGAGGAAGTCGTGCTGTGGCTCAAAGGGTAGACCGCTAGCCTTGAGCTGAAGAACTGAGAGACAGTGCCCAGGCCCAGAATTCAAGCCCCCATAACCAGCCAAAAAAGAAAAAATGATATGTGGAATACAAAAAAAAAAATGGTACTGTGGCTGAATCTCAGAGCCAGTCTCAGCACTGTCCCTTAGATTTTTTGCTCAAGGCTGATGCTGTACCACCTGAGCCTCATCTCTTACAGTTTTTGGTGACTAATTGGAGATAAAAGTCTCATGGACTTTACTGCATGGGCTGGCTTTAAACTGTGCAGTGCCTGGCTTAGTATTGTATTAAAAAAAACTGTATTTGCTATTGTTACAAGAAAGGAAACTTTTTGATTTGGTAATTTTCCCTTGAGGAAGTTGGCCATGTTTCCTAAGGGAAAGAAGCCAACTTCAGATCTGTTAATAATTACACCCACTAAATGATGCAAGTCAGTTGTAACGAGTACTATTTACTTACTTTTTACTTAATTAGGAAATCAACATGAAAATGTAGAGAAATCTGAATTTATGTCACTTGCTTAGGTTAGAATTTTCCTTGGATTTTAAATAGTATTTCTAGTTTGAATGTATAACCTTTTTTCCTTTGAATGTATTTTGCCAGATGAGGCCCTGGTGAACTTGTGAGAAATGATGCCTATCTGACCATGTTAGATCAGGTTTAAAGACTGCTATGTCCAGGATAGCATTTGATATGTGTTGTTGTATTTGATTCCTCTAGGTCACTTACAGATATTTGATATGTTTGTGGTGGAGAAATGGCCAATTGTACAGGCCTTTGCACTTGAGGGCATTGGAGGGGATGGATTTTTTACCATGAAATATGAGGTATGTATGAAAAGCAGTGTATTTGGTTTTTGTCTGCCAGTTCTGTTAATTATGAAGGTCTCACAAAGTGAGTATACATTACTGTATCACTCTGAAAACCTGACTGTTACTTCCCAAGGACATGGAGCACATTAGGATATTTAAAATGCAAAACAGTTGTCGTTGTTTTTGTGCCAGCCCTGGGTCTTGAGCTTGGCTGGGACACTGTACATGAGCTTTTATGCTCAAAGCTAGCACTATACTATTTGAGCCACAGCTCTACTTCCAGCTTTTTGGTGATTAATTTGAGTTAAAAGATTCATGGATTTTCTTGCCTGAGCTGGCTTCGAACCCCAATTCAGTGTTCTTAAATTTAGCAGATGACCAGTGACTCTTTGTCAAGTCAATTAATGAATGAATCTAAGGAAAAGGACTCTCTGTAAAGGCCTATTAGATTAGCAGCCAGACCACAGGCTCCATGTGCCTTGATTGGATACACACTGACATGACCTGCCCCATCCAGCACAGGAAGCCAAGGAGGCAAAGAATTAATCATGTTAGAAATGGGCACATCCTGTTATACCTTAGAAGCAAGCCTGAGAAATATCAGAATCCCTAGGAAATATGCTTGGCAGGACCACTTAGACTTGACTTTTCCTGCTCTAAAGCAACAGAATTTTTCCACTGATACCAAGTAGCAGAATCTCAGCAAGGCTTTGGGAAGTAGTACTCTCTAATTCAGAAGTTTAGGGGCTTGAAGGGAAACAAACCACCAGACATAAATTATTTGGGGGGAAGGGCTTGAACTTACTATGTGGGCACTGCCCCTGAGCTTTTTCACTCAAGGCTAATACCCTACCACTTTGAGCCACAGCTCCACTTTCAGTTTTCTGGTGGTTAATTGGATATAAAGTTCTTGCAGACTTTCCTGCCGAGGCTGGCTTCAAACCTCAGATCTTAGCCTCCTGAGTAGGTAAGATTACAGGTGTGAGCCACCAGTGCCTGGCTAATAATGATTGTATTTTAATTGTATGAACTAGACATTTGTAGAGTGTCAACTTACATGACAAACACTACTCTGAGCACTTTATATGAAGTGACTGGTTTAATTTTTTTTTGTCGGTCTTGGGGCTTGAACTCTAGGCCTGGGCAATGTCCCTGAACTGTTTAGGTCAAGGGGAGCACTCTACCACTTGAGCCATAGTGCCACTTCTGGTTTTTCTGGTGGTTAATTGGAGGTAAGAGCCTCACTTTCCTGCCTGGGCTGGCTTTGAACCATGATCCTCAGATCTCAGTCTCCTGAGTAGCTAGGATTATAAGTGTGAGCCACTGGTACCCAGCTGGTTTAATTTTTATAAAACTCTCTGAGGTAGGTACTATTTTATATGTCTCTTTTTCAAAGAAGTTGAATGAACTTCCCAGTCACAAAGTAAGTGACGGTAGGCTTTGGCCAAGTTCAGATGGTTTGTCTCAGAGCCAATGTTAATACAACCCAAATGAGACAGGCTGTCTGACTCCTGCCTTAAGGTACTAAATACCATGATGTCACATTCAGAAAGGTCCCTGCCCCCTAACAACTTTGATCTTTACACAGTAAGGTGGGTTATTTGGAGGAAATGGCATATATCACGGCCAGTGTAGTGGTAAATGCCTATAGTCCCACTACTTGGAAGGCTGAGGTAGGAGGATGTCAACTTGAATGCTAGCCTGAGGTACATACAGAACTTACTGTCTCAAAAAAAAAAAAAGAAATTCTTTTATTCTGCTCCTATGTAGTTGTTAGCTTTTATTCTTCAGATATTTTGACTCTACTTCACCTTTCCTCACCTGAAGTCTCAGTTCTCTTCTTTACCCTCTCTTTCCCAGTTATTTAAGATGTGAAACAGTTTACTCTGCTAGTATCCTCTCTCCTGAACTCTGAGGGCTTGATGACTGCCTACATCAGACCCTCTGGCCACCTATGATGGCCAAAAAGAGAGCTATAGATACTTATAACTTTACATTTTAAACTTTGTTTTTAATTAAACAGCCATATCCAATGGAAGGTCATCAATCAGAGGTCCCTTATTTATTTATTTAGTCAGTTGTGGACTTGAACTCTGGGCCTGGGCACCATCCCTGAGCTCTTTTGCTCAACACTAGCACTTTGAGCCATACCACTTCCTGTTTTCTGGTGGTTTGAAGGTAAGAGTCTCAGGGACTTTCCCTCCCTGGCTGCCTTCAAACTGCAGTCCTCAGATCTCAACCTCCTGAGTAGCTAGGATTACAGGTATGAGCCACTGGTGCCTGGCTTAGAGGGCCTTTTGTCCCTGATGGTGGTAGGTTGTCAGCAGGAGAAAGAAAGCTCGTCTAGGCTAGGTCATAATTTTATTTGGCATTGAGACTAAGCTAAACTGGGTCATAGATATGGAGAACTTTCTCTACCTGGAAGCTGTAGAGGGAAGTTTTATAGCTTGTGTTTTTCTTCCAACTTCCTTCTTATCCTTGAGCTGCTAGAAAGAGCTATTACTTGGCAAGATAAATTTATAACAACTGGCTTCCTAAGGGAAGATCCTAATAGCAACCATCTGGCTAATGAAAGTAAGCAATTATTTCACTTATTTATGGACAAACAAAATTTTCATACTAAAATGTGAAGTAAGATTTTTGAAAAAAATTCAGTAAGCCAGGAATGTTGACATATATTTCTAATTCTAACACTCAAGAGATTGGGATCATATGTGTGATCACAAGTGTGTTAGACTTTTTGTCACTGGTGAAATACCTGATTTAAACCACTTCAGTGGAGCTGTATTTTGGCTCATGGGTTTAGTCCATGGGCCTTGACTGTTGATTCCAGGCCTATGATGAGGCAGAACATCTTGGCAGTGGGAACATGGGAAGCAGAGAGAGGAAGGGATTAGAAACCAAGTATGAATTTGAAAAGCACACCCTTGCTGGGCGCCAGTGGCCCACTCCTGTAATCCTAGCTCCTCAGGAGGCTGAGATCTGAGGATCTCGGTTCAAAGCCAGCCTGGGCAGGAAAGTCCGTGAGACTCTTATCTCCAATTAACCACCAAAAAACCAGAAGTGGTGCTATAGCTTAAGTGGTAAAGCGCTCACCTTGAGCTTAAGAGCGTAGGGACAGCACCCAAGCCCAGAGTTCAAACCCCACAACCAACAACAATAACAACAACAAAAAGCACACCCTTAGTGACCTACTTCTGTAGCTAGGCCCTGCCTCCTAAGATTTCACTACCTCTCAAAGTAGCACCACCAGCTCAGGTCCAGGCATTTAACAGATGAACCTGTGTATAGTATTTAGTATTCAGATCATAGCAGTGAGTTGGAAGTAAACATGGGTTACATAATGACATCTTACCTCAGAAAACAAGCTAAAACAAAACAACATTAAACAGAACATTAAAAGATCACAATCTGTTAGATGCAAGGATATATATCAGCATTTTAAGTTGGACACCAGTGGCTATGCCTACAACCCTAGCTATTCAGGAGGTTGAGATCTGAAGATTGTGGTTCAAAACCAACCTTAGCGGGAAAGACTGTGAAACTTCGAAAAGCCAGAAATGGAGCTGTGGCTCAAGTGATAGAGCACTATTGAGCACAAAAGCTCAGGAACAATGCCCAGGCCCTGAATTCAAGACCCAGTACACACACACACACACACACACACACGTACCACACACACACACACACAGAGTAAAATTCTCCGTGGTTGGTGCCCAGGCCCTGAATTCAAGACCCAGTATACACACACATACACACACACACACATACACACACAGAGTAAAATTCTCCATGGTTGGTGCCCAGGCCCTGAATTCAAGACCCAGTACCAACACACACACACACACACACACACACACACACACACAGACACACACAGTAAAATTCTCCGTGGTTGGTGCCCAGGCCCTGAATTCAAGACCCAGTACCAACACACACACACACACACACACGAAAGGTAAAAGAAGACCCAGTACCAACACACACACACACACACACACACACACGAAAGGTAAAATTCTCTGTGGTTGGTATCCAGAGATTATGAAGTTTGAAAAGAAGTAGAAAAAGCTGAGTGACAGTAGCTTATGCCTGTAATCCTAGCTACTCAAGAGGCTGAGACGATTATAGTTCAAAAACAACCTAGGAGGCTGGGAAGGTGGCTCAGTGGTAGAGCGCTTGCCTTGCATGCATGAGGCCCTGGGTTTGATTTCTCAGCCAGCACCACATAAGCAAAAAGAAAAAAGCCGAAAGTGGCGCTGTGGCTCAAGTGGTAGAGCACTAGCCTTGAGCTGAGGAGCTGAGGGACAGCACCCAGACCCAGAGTTCAGGCCCCACGACCGGACCCCCCAAAAAAACTAAACCAAAAAAACCAACCTGGTCAGAAAAGTCCAAAATAACCAACAAAAAGCAGGACTAGAGACATGGCTCAAGTGGTAGGCACTAGCCTAGCAAGTGCAAGACTCTTGAGTTCAAACTCCAATACTAAAATAAAAAAAATTTACATCTATCTATCTGTATACCAAAAAAAAAGAGTTTTTAGTAGTTGCTTTTGTGGAGTGAAGATAACAGAAGATGTTTAGAGGTTGGAGTAGGGAAGTCACATTTTTTAATTTTAAATTTCCTATTCGATTTTTTTTTTTGGGGGTCTGGTCATGGGGCCTGAACTCTGGGCCTGGGCACTGCCCTCAGCTCTTCAGCTCAAGGCTAGCGCTCTACCACTTGAGCCACAGTGCCACTTCCGGCTTTTTTCTTTTTGCTTATGTGGTGCTGAGGAATCGAACCCAGGGACTCAGGCATGCAAGGCAAGTGCTCTACCACTGAGCCACCTTCCCAGCCCTCCTATTTGATTTTTAAATTAAAAATTTTGTTATTTTAAAGGTGATGTACAGAGGGGTTACAGTTACATAAGTCAGGTAATAAATATATTTCTTTTTTTTTTTTCCGTCGATAATGGGGCTTGAACTCTGGGCTTGGACGCTATCCCCGCGCTCTTCAGCTCAAGGCCAGCGCTCTACCACTTGAACCATTTCCAGTTTGCTAGTGGTTTAACAGACTTTCCTGCCCGGGTTGGCTTTGAACTGTGATCCTCAGATCTTAGCCTCCTGAATAGCAAGGATTACAGGCGTGAGCCACCAGCATCTGGCTTGTATTTCCTTTTTAGACAATGTCACCCTTTCCTTCACTGTTTCCTAGTTTTTCCTTCCTGTCCTCACATACAAGTTGTATAGTTCATTTTCAACATAGTGTCTGCTGCATTTGTTCCTATTTGATATCTTTAAAGATATGTATTTGATTTTTTAAACCATAGATATGTATTTAGTTAAAATTACAAAGACAAAACCATAGAATACTTCTATACATATATATGTATATTATATGCATATATAGTATGTATACATACATTTATCTATCTGTCTGTCTATATCTATCTATCTATCTACCATGTGTATGTATTTATATATGTGTGAGCAATGATTGAAGATAATCAAAGAATGTACCAAAAGTTCTGAAAATATTCTTGAATGTGAAAGCATTTAGTATGTGAAAGTTCTATTATACTTGAAACACTTAGGGACATGGAGGCATGGTTCAGGTGGCAGAGTGCCACCTGAGCAAGCAAGAGGTCCTGAGTTCCTCAAAAAAATAAAAATAAAAACCACAGTATATTGGGTGCTGGTAGCTCATACTTGTAATCCTAACTACTCAGGAAGCTGGGATCTGAGGATCTGAGCAGCTAAGGCAAAAAAAAGTCTGTGAGACTTACCTCCAGTTAACCAGCAAAAAGCTGGAAATAAGCCAGGTACTTGTGGCTCAAGCTTGTAATCCTAGCTACTCAGGAGGCTGAGATCCCAGTACTGGGTCAAAAAAACCTTTGATTTACTATTCTTATCACACCGATTAGAGTAATTTCTGAATATCAAAAAATTCTGATTGTCTTAATGATACTGACTTAATTATTTCAATGTTTTTGTTCTTTATTCCAGTTGCAAGATGTGAGTTTGAATCTGTGGAATGTTTACAGCAAGATGGATCCTATGTCTCTGGAAAATTTGCTTTCAGAAGTAAGGAGACAAACAATTTAATTTAGTGAAATAGAGTAGTTTCTTCCTAGATTGTTATCTTGTGCTTATTGGGAAAGGAAGAGAAACTGAAAAAGTCATACTACCTCTTCCTATTCTACTATGAGAAAACTTTACTTGAGGTAAAACTGAGGCCTTCTTCATGGTTTAGGATCTGAAGTTTCTCCTAAAGATAATCTTTCTGTGGGAATAAGTCTTAGTGAAACAGTGTAGAATGTGTTTTGTTGTTGTTGTTATTGTTTTGTTTTGTAGCATAAAAAAAAGATGAGGTATGGCTTAAAGGAATCAAAGAGAATTCTGCAGAGGGCTAGAGATTAATAGTTTTGGCTTTGCGTGCTATTTGGTCTCTACTGCAACTACTTAGCGATACCATTGTAACATGTAAGTGCCCTAGACAGTGCTTTAACAAGTGAATGTCTTAAGAGTGTATCTACAAAAAAATATGTGGACCTGCCCACCAGCTGTACTTTGCCAACTTCTCCGACATTGTTCATCTGAACTTTGAAAAGAAAATTCAGGGTAAGGAGAACAATTTGCATTAAGAAAACAACAAATGAAGCTGAAGCCATGAGCTGGGCACTGGTGGTTCATACCTGTAATCCTAGCTACTCAGGAGGCTGAAATCTGAGGATCACCGTTCAAAGCCAGCCTGTGCAGGAAAGTCCATAAGACTTTCCAGTTAACCACCAGAAAACTAGAAGTGGAGCTGTGGCTTAAAGTGGTAAAGTACTAGCCTTGAGCAGAAAGAGCTCATGACTGACAAAAACAAAAAAATACCTAAAGCTATGAAATAGGTACTGTCATAAACAGCTCACTAGTGTCTCTCAGTGGATGTAAATGAATGTATATAAAACCCCTATGATGTGTCCCTTTAACTTTGTACCCCTCATTTAGAATAAGGTAGAATAGACTGTTTACTATCTTTTTTTAATTAATAAGTTTTTTATTGTGAAAATACTGTACAGAGGGGTTACAATTACATGAGCAAGGTAATAAGTACAGTTCTTATCAAGCATTGTTGCCTCCTCCTTCGTTTTTCCCCTACCATCCCTGCCCTTCCATCTCCACGACTACACTCCCCCCCCCAATACTATCATTTTTTATAACCAGCACTAATTTTAAAAAATGGGTGTATTTGCTGAGCACTGATGGCTCATGCCTATAATCCTAGATACTCAGGAAGCTGAGATCTGGGGATCCAAGCAGGAAAAGCTATGAGATTCATATCTTCAATTAACTACCATCATTCCCTCCTCACCCCACCCCCAAAACAAAATAAGTGGAGCTGTCACTCAAGTAATATAGCACCAGCCTTGAATGAAAAAGCTAAGGGAGGGCTGAGAATGTGGCTTAGTGCTAGAGTGCTTGCCTAGCATGCATGAAGCCCTGGGTTTGATTCCTCAGTACCACATAAACAGAAAAAGCCAGAACTGGAGCTGTGGCTCAAGTGGGAGAGTGCTAGCCTTGACCCAAAGAAGCCCAGGCCCTGAGTTCAAGACAAAGTACCAGCAACCAAACAGAGTACCTTAAACTGATTAGTTAGAAAGATGCACAAAAAAGCTTGCTGGATGCTAGTGGCTCACCCATGTAATTCTAGCTACTCAACAGGTTGAAATCTGAGGATCAAGGTTTGAAACCAGCCTGGGCAGGGAAGTTTGTGTGACTCTTATTTCCAGTTAACCACCAAAAAAAAAAAAATCCTGAGTCCCAGCCCCAGTATTGGCACACACACAAAAATAGCAGAAAGTGCCATGTGCTGGTGGCTTATGCCTGTAATCCTAGCTACTCAGGAGGCTGAGATCTGAGGACCGAGGTTCAAAGCCAGCCCGGGCAGAAATATCCATGAGACTCTTGTCTCCAGTAAAACACTAGAAAACTGGAAGTGGTGCTGTGGCTCAAGTGGTAGAGTGCTCACCTTGAGCTGGAGAGCACAGGGACAGCGCCCAAGCCCAAAGTT